TCTCCCAACTCGGAGAAAGGAGAACACAAGAAGGTACCGGTACCTGCAGGACTTCATGTTTCAAAAAAGCTTTATTTCAATGAAGGTCACCATGTGCTGCACGAAACTGCGTGGGCTAGCCGGACTGGCTTGAAGATAACCCGAAATACCGAGACTGCAGTCTTTAGCAGATAGCCCAGTAGTCTGGTAGGTGTCAGGAGGAGCGAAATGGGTTCGCCCTCAGCTGCGTTTTCCACCAATAGTGATCGGTTAGTGACCGATTCCGAAAGAATGGATGGAAAAGGCCGCGGGTGGACTTATTTCGTGCCTACTGACACCGCCCCCGATTGACTGCGACGATATCAACTGTACTAACAGCCAATATCACAACTCCAGGAAAGATAATGCAAGAACAGCTGGTTGTCAGGGCCATAACGAAGCAGCAGCATGCTGTTTATTGAATTTCCGCGAAAAAAATTTTCCCTGGGCAGTGAGTTCCCTTAAACTGAGTGGTGTATTAATTTCGTCTTTAATAAATTGTCTCAACAAAACACAGAAGAAGTTTTTCATTTTTATTTACTCAGAAAGCAGATCTTTTAGGAGTATTCTTTAGCGACGTGAACCATCTTCGAAAAACACGCCTCCATCTCTGGCACAGTATTTGGGACAGACTCCAGGTTCTCCCGGCTTTCCATCGGTTCCGGGTTGTCCAGGAAGTCCGGGCATTCCATCCAATCCAGCTTTGCCAGGAGGTCCTGGAGGTCCCTTTTCGCCTGGTTCGCCTGGCTCTCCATCTTTTCCAGGTGGTCCTTGAGGACCGCTGTTTCCTGGTGGCCCAGTTGGACCTGGTAGTCCCGGTGCTCCAGGGATCGGCTCTCCGCTCGCACCGGGCTCACCAGGTGGACCCTGATCTCCTATTGCTCCCATCTGACCTGGACTACCAGGCGCTCCTTTCATTCCCTGAGGACCTACAGGACCAGGAGGTCCTGGTTCACCCACAGGTCCAATCGGTCCCTGATTTCCTGGTAGACCTTGAGGTCCTGGAGGACCAGGTGGGCCTGGTGGGCATGGTTTACATGGAGGTGGTGTGATGGGTTCGCATGGTTGTTGTGGTGGACGGCCAGGGTTTCCAGGCAATCCAGGAAGACCTGCTTTCCCAGGCTTTCCTGGGGCTCCCGGTGGACCAGGTGGTCCTGGGGGACCGGGTAAGCAGCAGCTATGGCAGCCGCCACCGCCACTACCGCTGGATACACCAGAAACACCAGCATATTCGTCAGCATCGGCAGATCTGGTGGAACGATTCGCCGTCGGCAGTTTGAAGACATCTGAGCGAAGATCTTCGGCTGATGATTTACACTCCATCAATTCCAGACTAGCACTGCGTCGGACATGTCGAACATAGTTGTAGACAAGCGGTAGAGTGATACAAATGGAAAGTACAGCGACAGCGGAGAATGTTACGGCGGCATAGCCGACAACGCGGTAGGCTTTCAACCTTGACTCGATGTCCATGAGTATGGTCGACACTGTTCCGCTCGGCAGACATTTATACCCAGGTCACAGATAGTTCATGCTAGGCAACGGCAAGAAATAACCTTTTTTTCACTTTTAAGTCACACTAACTTTCGTTCCGACAGCGTTTTTTAATTGTCTCGTTCGCACAGTAGACCTTAAACTTTAACACAGGAAAGACTACCGCTCACTGGGCGTATTACGACAGCGATTAATCACTGTGAAAAGAATACCTACCAGTTTGCTGATAGTAACATTCCATTCCCCCTGCCGAGACAAACACGGCTTGTGAATTTTTATGAAATTTTCAGAGGACCAGGTCGTGAAAAAAATCACGTTTTCCCAGTTCATCCAGAAAACCAAGTTTCCTGGTTCAAATCTCGGTCAAGCCCTCATTTGGAGGAAAACCGCCGCCTTTGGGACTGAAAGATGCTCTCACTGCTTAGGTGTTGCCCTTGCCTTTTTTTGATCGCGAACATCCAATTCGCAGTAGATTCAGGCGCCAAACTGCTGTCTTATCCCTAGTCCACCGTGACCGACTACACCCGCTAGCGAAAGAAAACCAGTGTCACGAGAACAAAGAAAGAAGAATGTAGGGCAAAATGTAAAGCATCAATCATTTCATGGATTGCGCAATCAATTCTACTTCCGTACGAACCAGGCCAAGCGTAGAGAATTCTGTCCTCAGCAATACCACCCTTCCACTTCTTGCATCGAGTAATCCTCACCCCCCCCCCTCCATCACTCCAGGTGAGGATTCCACAGTGATTTGATAGAACTGGAAAATTGTCCGCCGACAAGGAATGAGACACGATCCCTGCAAACAAAAGGGACTGCGCCGTGAGCATGGCTTGAAGCGCAGAATCCGCCAGTTGCAGCGAGCGCAGGAGGACATCATTGGTGGAAATAGGGCGCCCTTGCAACCCCAGTCGCGTCAGACGCACTGTCATTTGCAGAAATCATTACTGTCTCTAGCCCGTTCGAAGTTGGAAAAAATTAACAATCAAAAATTTCCGGTAAATTCTTTTTTTACTGCCCCACTCATCGAAATTCAGGTCTCACTTCGATCGGAATATTCCCCCAGCGGTGTATAGCAGTCGTTCGAAGCTTAAATTAAATCTTGGATCAGTTTCCTAAGCCGACCAAGTCTTCGTCCTTGCACCCGCACCGTGAGCCAGGGGGTGCCCACAGTCGGCAACAGTGTCAGTTCTTTCACATAAAATGAGCAGGTCCAAAATACTCGTCCAGTCATGGGGACTTGTTCTGCGTTCTTGGTTGTTTCTTTCACAGTCAAATCAGTGACCTGCCCCCTCTCATTTTCATTTCGAACTTCACACCAACGACTGGGAATCGCGGGAACCGTCTTTGAGAAAGCTTTCGTGCGCATTGTCGCGACCACGCAGATAAATGTGTCTTATACCCCAGAAAATAGTGTTCATTTCGTGGTGAAGTTCTCCGGTTCAAAAAGCGAACGATAGAACTTCTAGTGCGTACGTACTCCATCCGAAACTGTTCATCATCTGCCCATTCAAAATGAATGTCCTTGAATACGCTAGAATTCCAAGAACTGGTCACACACAAGTTCTTGTCGCCGAATTATGACAACGGCGTATTGCTGCTACACATGTGGACACGCTTAAAAGTTTACGAACGACGGAGTATTATTTGTCAAAAATGAAGAAGGGAAATTAGACAGAAAAGGTAACCGGGGATTCGGTACACGACTTCAAAAGATAGTAATTTCAAAAACTTGCGAAACATGCTCAATTTCGATTAATGACAATTCAAAAAAGCTCCATACTGAACAATAATCAAAAAGGCGCTGGTTACAGAGCGTGAATTCATAATGCGAAATAGTGGCGCGGTCGGACTTGAATCAAAAGGTGACCATAATGCGTGAGCGGTTTTGTAGCTGTTATTCACTCGAGATCATTACATCGCAGTTCACGTCGTTTTCAAGCGAAATCACTTGAATACGCCGAGTTACCAACGAAAACTAAAGTGCCTAGCATGCACTTTTCTTGGCCTCTATCCTCCAATTCTATACGAAAGGCGCGTAGCACACAGGTTGCGTGGGCGGGGGCCGACATACCATTACCTCACTCAACGCGCCCTTCTAGTGTCTAAAAAAACAGCGTTAAAGGCAGTTGGCACGATAAATCCCCAAGACGAGTAGGATTAATACGCCTGGCAGGACGGAATTCCGCGACCCTGAGCAGGCGCTGCGATAGCGCCTTCCCCAAAGAAGGTGCCCTTATAAGGGCCCTATCAAGCTACAACATACCGACCCGAACGCCCACCACGCCCACAAATGGACGACCGTTCCTGACGCTCGTATTGATTCATTTGCTAAGC